AGGAGGATGTCCTAATCTTCTGTGCTAGATTTCAATCTGTGATTCAAGGGCATTATTGTCGGTAGAATTTGCATATTCGGATGAACTTGTGTAGAGGATGGACTGAGATTTGTTTAGGTGATGACTGATAGGACTTGTTTTCTGATTTCTTGTGTCATGGCAGGGCAGATTCAACTGATATAATCCACCTATATGCTTCTCCTACACTAATGCCTTCCTTGTTGATAGGTCCTTCACAACACAATTGTTAGGATAAAATTCAACTGAGACATGGTTATCAGATGTAAGCTTGGAAACACTTATGAGATTCTTTCTGATTTTAGGCACATGTAGTAGTTTATTTAAAGCAAGTCTTTTACCTGTTTCAATATCAAAAAACTTTGAGACAACATGTGAAATTTGTAGTGACCTGCCATTACATACAATCATTTTTTCCTTACCTCCATATTCTTTTGCTTCAGCAATGTTGTCCTTATCAGTAGTTACATGGTGGCTAGCTCTAGATTCAACATACCAGCCATGATCCTCAACTGAGCTCAGATTTGTAATGTAAGCAGATGGATGACGATTGGAAGTCTGATCAGTAGGCCTTTTCCCATAAATTTTTCATCAAATCTGTTGTAGCACCAAGCAGCAATGTGAGTACTCAGCTCACATATCTGACAAGGATTTCTTGACTCATTTGTTCTTCCAAACTTGCCTCTGCCTTTACCTCTTGTTCTTCCTCTGAAATTTGAGCCTCTAACATCTCTGTTTCCTCTTCCATTATATGAATTTGTATTCTGGAAGTTCCTTTGAGTGATATTGATTGAACCAAAGTTGGTTCTAACTTGGCTGAGGTATTCCAGTCTGCTCTCAAATGTTATGAGTATGGAGGATAGCTCAATCCAAGAAATATGTTCCTTGCTGTTGACTTGCACCACGATTGGAGTGTGCTCTTCATCAAGCCCAGCTACGACCTGAGTTACCAAGTCAATATGTTCTATTTTTTTTCCTACTATTTCAAGATTATCAGCAAGCTGCTTGACAGTGCTAAGATAGTGGTGCTCATTCTTTGTAATTTAGATGTGAGAAAGGTCACTCTAGACCTATTTAGGATTCCATAATTCTCATTTATGGCTTTCCACAGTTCACTTGAGCTATTGCAGCCCATAACACGCATGACAATGTCAGATGTCATCAAGGAATATAACCATCCCATTAGTAGTTGGTCAATAGACATCCATCTAGAATACTCAGGACTAGGGGAAGTCCTAACCATGACTCCCGTCTCAGTTGAGATCTAAACATCTACAATCTGAGGGGGTCACTCATTAGTGCCCAGTAAATATCCTTCTAAGCCATGACCCTTACAATTGGCATTATAACATTTTTCCAAAACAGAAAGTTATCTCTGTCAAGCTTAATAGAGGCTCCTTGAGTCAAGTTCA